AGTTTTCAGGAACAAGCTAGAATAAGAAAGTAAAGGCTCAAGTGAAGGACTTTGTTTCCTGTTTCATTCTGGGTCATTTAGTTTGAAAAGTTGTAGATTTGGATTTTCAACAGCGAACTGTCATTGGCACAGACTTAAAAGTCTCTCAGCGCACTCATGTTTTCAAAATGAAAGTTTTTGCTCTCCTGAATGGTATATTTCACTCAATTTTAGTAAAAAATTAAATGGGTGAAGAACCCTCCACCCAGTCTTTTGACTTAATTAAAATTTCATATTGATCCAAAATAAAATGCTTTATTTTGATATTCCTGAAAACTCTATGCCTTCCTTCTCCCCTTTCCTCATACCATGTAAGAAATACTAAAATTTCTTATGTAATTATATTTTGTGACAATATGTTTGTTTCAAGATCAAGTGTTTTCTTCTATTGTGTTAATATCTTCTCATATAAAATCACTCTGAAATTTAAAAACTAAATACTTAATTTTTCACTGAGTCTGCATCAGACCTATGTATTTAGAGATATCTTACACTTAATCTCTATGTTATAATTGACCAGTCTTTTCCCTCTTTGATCTATAATTTAGTCAAGTAGGGCTATGATGCATTGATCCCTTGAAACTGATCTAATCAGTCTGATTTGCTGAGTATGGCTTGGGTATATTTCATATTTTCCCATACATTAGGTATCATTCTGACATGTAATAAATAGTCTTCCAGCTTGAAGAGGCAGAGGACATGAATTCTGTTGAAATTGGCTCATTAATATTTATTTATTTTATCTTCAGAGTGACTCATGAACTGTTTCAAATTTTGATAAGCAATTAATGCATCAGTGATTCTAGCAGACACAGAAAAGATGATTATGAGCCAGCAAATAATGGCTTGCTTAGGCACGCAGCAGTCTCTGCAGTTTTAAAAGTGAATTTCATCACAGTAAGTGCTTCATGGGTTTTAAAGAAGCAGACAGAGAAAAAAGATCTTTAAATATTTAGAAATATGATATATACATACGCAAATGTTAGTATGAGAATCAACAGAGTATCCTGCTTAGTGATACGTGTCTTTGTACAGCTCATCTAATCATGTATATGTTTGTGTAAATAACTAGATGTAAATATTTTTTTTCTAACATGTTACATGGGTATCTTATTTAAATCTAATGTATATTCATACTTTAAGCTCTGTGTGGTGTGGAAAGACCACTAATGCCTAATAACATGGCTTCCTTTTACAAAACTCTTTTTTCCGGTAATTTACAACTTGTTCCCTTTTCTGCTTGGGTCAGCAGAGCAGTGCTGTGCTGTCTCCATCTGGAATTTTTTTGTTCTCCCTGTTTTGAATTCACACCTTTAATTCCTGCCTTCCACAACTCTGCTGACTGACAAATAAGTACAGCACCAGCCATCGTCTCTATGCCTGGACACTACTCTGTGCTATTCTGCAGAATCTGATGGAGATGTGTGGGTTGTGCAACTATTCACACACTTATATATGTTCACATATACATATATTTAATGACAGTTCTGTGTTCCTGAAGTCTATGTATGTCCATTTACATACTGTTTATGCTCAGAGCATAGTGGACCCTATGCTTTTTAGCTGGTAGGAGTTGAAACATAGCAGACTTCTGTGCGTATGCTCATGCAGATATAATGTAGTAGAGGTTTAAGAGAGCTGCATCATATAAAACAAGAGCAGTGTTCATTATTAAGATAATCTGAAAAAGATAATATGTAGTTCTTAAGCATTGGATAACAGGCAGAAATGCTTATTTCTACAAAGGACCTTGTAGATTCATCCTATGCTTCTCTTTGTGCTCAGCCTGATTTGCCACCTGCCAGTTTCTGAGATTGCGTATAGCCATTGAGGGTAACTGTGCAGGCTAATGAGTGCACAAGAACTTCGTAACACTTTTAAACCTTATTTAAGGGAAAACAAACAAACAAACAGCCATTGGAAACTTGTTCACAAGTTGTAATAAATTGTTTCATGATACCTTCATTCTGTTATGCTAGCCACTGTCAATGTTAAGACAGAAGGACAAAGAGAGATTTTAGCAAGATGTACAAAATTTTGGTGTGGATGGAGCCTACTATCCCCAGCATAAGAGCGTGTTTCTGTTCCCCTTATGTATGGGCTCGTGTCACAGCCCCACGCCACGGAAAGGCAGGTTCCTATGTCACTCACAGTGCCGTTCGACAGCAGCTTAAGCCGGTCTCACCCTGGGTTGCCCAAGTCCTGCTCTGGCGCTGTCCTCAGCAGTGTGTTTCCACCCTGTTCCTGTGCACAGGCTGCTTCGGCAGCTGAAAGCCAAGCTGGTTGAGGAATCTGTCTGTAAGAGAGAGTCCCTCTTAGCCATGGTTTTATTTCCGGGTGTGAAGACTTGTGCTGTCACGTATTGGGTGACACAGCAGCTGAGAGGTCCATTGGAATGGAACAAACAGAGAGCCTGAGAGGAGGTGAAATGAGTCCAAGGCAAGAGCTGAGGGAAAAAAGGAGAGGAATGGGAGAGAAGAGAAGAGAAGAGAAGAGAAGAGAAGAGAAGAGAAGAGAAGAGAAGAGAAGAGAAGGAGAAAAGTCACAAGGTTTTATAATTAAATCTTTCCTCCAAGCTTTAAACTATTGTTCTTGATTCCCAAAATATCAGTGGTGTTTGGGATTAACATTGGATAGAAGAGATTAAAAGGAATATTAACTAGTTGTTAATTTTATATTCTGGGCACTGATCATTTGAGGATCTGGAGGAAAATCAAGTATGTGACCGTGATATTGAAAGCTATATATGTATGTAGAAATATGGGAATCAGAAGCCCAACAGGAAAAATTAAAATCACACAGAATTATGGCATTTCCTAATTTTTTGAAGTGAGGAATTTGTGTTATAGGTTTGGTAAAATTCTTGTACGTATTTTTTTTATGTAATACAAGCCTACAAGAATTTGGAATGGGATTTCCAGAAGCACTATGTCTTCACTGTGTTCTAGCCAATATGAACTATCACCAGATCAGTTTTCCAAACAGTTGTAGATAATGAAAATGTCAAACTTCTAAAAGTTCTCAAGTCCTTTCACTGATCTTAGTGTAATCCTGAAAGAAAATCTAAGTTATGTGTCTTCTAAAAAATACGAAAAATATGAAAAAATATATTATTATATGCAAGGCTTTCATCTTGCTCTTTTTTTTAATGTCATTAATACCAGAAAAAAAGCAAGATCTTTCTTCTGTCATAGAATGCTAGCAGGAAGAAGAATTTAATAGACTGTGTTTAGAGATTTTTTTCCCTTATTGTTTATGTTTGCTTGAAATGA